TTTGGGAGGCCATAAATACTGGGGATGGTGTCTCCTGGGTAAAGTTTGTAATATAGTGGTTTTTCAATAATGCCCTCTTTCATTAAGTTCTGAAGGAAGTCTATAATCTTTTTCCTAAACCCACTGGTAGGGTCCCTCTTCAATGGCTGGTACGTGTTGGTGTCCACGAGTAACTGATTAACTTTGGCCTCATAGTCTGAGCTGTTGAGGATAACTGTGCATCTGCCTTTGTCAGCTGGTAAAATAGTTATATTCTCATCCTTTTGTAATGCCAATAATGCTTTTTGCTCATCTAATGAGACATTGGATTGTGGGGGCTTCGCACTTTTGAGTGTGGCAGAGACTCTCAGTCTGAGGGCCCCTGCCTCACTCTCAGTTAGTTTGTTGTTTCTAATGGCTGCTTCTGCTGCTGTGATGTATTCAATTGTAGGAATATCTTTTGGGGTTATTGCAAAATTTAGGCCTTTAGTAAGAACATCTTTTTCCGCTTGTGATAAATGCCGATCAGACAGATTTTTGACCCAATTCTCCCTGTCCAAGCCTTGTCCAATTTCACTTTTAGAATGTTGAAAAGAATTATGGTTTTGGAGTTTTAGAAATTTGCCTATCTGACGTTCTTTGGCCTTCTTGTGATGGTTCAGTTGGGCAGTTTCCGTAAACGTCCAAATCCTCTGAAAAAACTCTGGTGAGACTGCCAATTCCAGTTTGTGCTTAAGGCCCTCTATCTCGTCCTTTAGGTTTATAATCTCTATGTTAAGTCGTCGAATTCTTAAATTGAGAATCTTCATACAGTAGTTTTGTTGTATTTTTCTTGCCAACTGGCCTGTTTCTAATGCTTTTTGCTTTAAACATTTTGGGATAAGTTTACTCTGGCTACACCTAAGATTGAACCTAAGATGATTTCTGGCGTCTGCTAGTTTTCTTTTGATTTTCTCCAACCCGCGTGCCAAGACCAGGGCGTCTCTCCCAAAGTTGGCAACGATAAGTTTGTGTAAGCCCTCAGTCGTACAGGGATTAGTCAAAGCAAAGGAAGGTTTCTCACCCATCATCTGTACTTCTTAGCAAGTTTTCCCGACGTTTCGTCCTCAACCTGGGGACTTCTTCAGGGAATGAATTCTCGGACCGCGCGTTGGAGATTTATAACCTATGGGTGTGGTAAGCCACACCCTAATCCTGATACTAACTCGTAAACAATCTAAGGTCTGCTTGATGTAGAAGGGAGCAGGTCTAACGACCCTGCTGAGGCTAACGACCCTAACTCCTTAGCATGTCACAGACCTATTGTCTGCTGGGATGCTCAAGTGGAGTGCAGGTCTCACCCCTCCTAACTCATTAGCATGTCACTGACCTTGTCCCAAGTTAGGGCGTTGTTTTTAGTTTTAACAGAGGAGGAGGGTTAAGATTTGTTTTGCCTCGCATCTATGACGACATCCTAAAAACAACGCCCTAACTTTGGACAAGGTCAGTGACATGCTAATGAGTTAGGAGGGGTGAGACCTGCACTCCACTTGAGCATCCCAGCAGACAATAGGTCTGTGACATGCTAAGGAGTTAGGGTCGTTAGCCTCAGCAGGGTCGTTAGACCTGCTCCCTTCTACATCAAGCAGACCATAGATTGTTTACGAGTTAGTATCAGGATTAGGGTGTGGCTTACCACACCCATAGGTTATAAATCTCCAACGCGCGGTCCGAGAATTCATTCCCTGAAGAAGTCCCCAGGTTGAGGACGAAACGTCGGGAAAACTTGCTAAGAAGTACAGATGATGGGTGAGAAACCTTCCTTTGCTTTGACTAATCCCTGTACGACTGAGGGCTTACACAAATTCTTTTCTGATTATAATTAGTTCAGTTCCTGTGGACTGAACTAAAACTGGACCAAAACTGGACCAAATATTGAAGTAGATCGGAAGATTTTCTACTTCCTGGTGTATCATCAAGATTATTGGTCCTCCCAACTGTCAATCATTCTGATGATTCGTGCTCGTCAAATGAGACCACAGAGTTTTGTTCAAAAAGTGGAGAGGGCGGTTCTTTTCTAAGAAAATTGGGAAATCCTCCTTGAAATGTAATTGAAGAGTCGTAAAAATTACTATTATACAATAGTAACTTCTAATTACATGTTGGCTTAATATTTCTTATGGAATGACATTTTATGGTTGTTTTCTTGAAAAAATTAGTCATCGATAAAATGCCATTTATTTATTTATTTAGAGGAAAAGCCCCTTGAGATGAACCATCTCATTTTCGAGGGGTGTATCTATAGATAGAGACAGTGCATTGATGGTATTGTCGCCTAATACCATCAATGCTGCTATTTAATATATAATTTAAAATCGACTTGACTTTGACACCTGTGCATTAAAGGATTAATATATGTTGCAGCTTGAGCCAAAGCAAGTCCTGATCCTATGTGGACCCTGGGAAGACTAGCGACCACTTGTAGAAGCTAAAAGGGATCCAAATGAATAAATCCATACATCAGCTCTGAGAAAAATAGATTCAACAGTTGCATATTCAATCATTATGTGTTTGTTTTGGCTGTCAAACATCACCATCAAGAACACTGACTACGGCATTTTATGTTTTTGAAATTTAAATAATCTGTTTAAGCTCGTATCTAACTTTTGAACCATACAAAAGGAACGATGCACTAGAATACACCCGACTGTTGTCTCATAGGGCTCCTTTCTTGCAAAATTCTGTGTACCAGCGCCTGTAGGAACACCCATCCAAAGGCTAACACACATGCTAACACAAATGCTAAAACACATGCTAACACAACTGCTAACACACATGCTAACACACAAACACATCAGTGAAAAGACATACAACTATAACAGTGTATGCCATCCATATCTTATCGTACAGACATTTTGGCACAGCTGAAAGTACATCCTCTGCCTGCAATACTACTGCTATGTCGGCTCTTTGTTGTGGTGACGTTTATGGTGATGTGCATGGAAAAGATTGTTAAAACACTACACAATCATCTCCAGAGAGTCAGACTATAACTGGGAGTAAGTAGGTCAATTGTCAATAATGTATTTCTAATTACAAAAAAATCGAAGTAGTTATAGCTGCAGGGGAAAAAGATGAATCCCAGCTCTTAGAACACAACGGTAAAACCCATTTTCAAGAAAGTTAATTAAAAGGTAAAATAAATGGTTCAGGACAGGGTTTGGTTTGAAGCTGGGGAAAGGCAGAAATGTCTCACATGAATGAGAGAGACATCAATGCAATTTTCTGATCCGCCAAAGTGTTTAGTTTTGGTGAAATGGTTTTAATTTGGCCCAGACAAAGGAGAAAGGAGAGAATATTGTGCTGCACTGGTCTGAAGCCGTGACTGAAGCCGTGACTGAAGACATTTCATGCAATTTCCAGGATTCTTGTGTTTATCGCAGCTCGGAGAAAACACCCAAAGAGTCCTCTGGCCACCTCCACGGCTTCACTGGGTTACAGACGGATGGACAGACAGACAGACGGATAGACAGACAGACACAGACTTATAGACAGACAAAGAGACTGACAGAATGACAGCCAGACAGACACAGACTGACAGACAGACAGACAGACAGAATGACAGACAGACAGACAGACAGACATAATGACAGACAGACACAGACTGATAGACAGACAGACAGACAGAATGACAGACAGACAGACAGACAGACAGACAGACAGACATACAGACACAGACTGATAGACAGACAGACAGACAGACAGAATGACAGACAGACACAGACTGATAGACAGACAGACAGACAGACAGACACAGACTGATAGACAGACAGAATGACAGACAGACAGACAGACAGAATGACAGACAGATATAATGAGAGACAGACAGACAGATAGAATGAGAGACAGACCAATAGACCGACAGATAGACAGAATGACGGACAGACTGAAAGATAGAATGAGAGACAGACAGATAGAATGAGAGACAGACAGACTGAATGACAGACAGACGGACAGATAGAATGAGAGACAGACAGACAGACAGACAGATAGAATGAGAGACAGACAGACAGACAGATAGAATGACAGACAGACGGACGTCGTTAGTCATTCACTCCATACACGGTGGTGATAATACACCATTGTAACCACAGAATGGAGGTAACCAGTCTGTGCCATTGGCCCCTCCCACCACCACCAACCATTCACACCAGATTCATTCTAGGCAATGGGGGTGAAGTGTCTTGCCAAAGGACACAACAGCAGTTTGTCATTTTGCAGCCGCAGCTGCCCCACACGACAGCAGACATCAGTGGGAGACGATGGAGAAGGTCTTGAGGTGGGCTCGAATTGACAACCTTCAGGCTCAAAGGCCAATGCTCTACCAACTGAGCTACTGTCGCCAGGAGACACAAATAAAGATAGACAAAGAGACAGACTAACAGACAGACAAACCCACAGACAAACAGACAGACGGACAGACAAACAGACAGACAAAAAGACAGACAGACTAACAGACAGACAGACAAACCCACAGACAAACAGACAGACGGACAGACTAACAGACAGACAGACTAACAGACAGACAGACAGACAGACGGACAAACAGACAGACAGACAGACTAACAGACAGACAAACCCACAGACAAACAGACAGACGGACAGACTAACAGACAGACAGACTAACAGACAGACAGACAGACAGACAGATATCTGCACCACAGTTTGTCTAGAGCAACGTCAAATTCTGTTTAATGTCCGTGGAGTGTGCTATTGTCAAACTTTCTTATTTGCATTATTTCATGTATCCTGGGTTTGCAAACTTGTATCTCTCTCCACCTGCACACACACACACACACACACACACACACACACACACACACACACACACACACACACACACACACACTGAGGACAGGGTGTTCCCATCGTTCATGCAGTGTAGAAGACTCCACCGGTTCCTGATGAAAAACTGATCCTATTCCTCTGAGCTGTATGTCTTCGATCAACTTCAAACCTCAGCCTCATAAATATCCTGGATAATGTCACTGGTGCAGAAGGGGCCACAGCTCCCCCTGGTGGCAGGAGTCATTACTGTGATGGAGCGATCGCAGGAGAACTCACACACCATGTGCAGAGGCGAGAGTGAGACTGTCAGAGCAGAGACCAGAGGTGATGTAGATCGAGGGGCGGACCAGCTGATGTCACATTATAAAACTAGATCCTACAGACATTCGATCTCACTCTTTCAAAGTTTATAGTTTGTTTATAGTGTGTTGTAGTGAGATCATTTACTTCTGGTGTGAATGATGTGTAGCCATAGCCGTACCATCAGAGAGGGGAAAGGTTCTAGGTCTCTCCAAGGTTTCTCACTGTATTCCGTCCAGGTTTATGGAGTGGTTTCTTGAAGATGCAGCAGAGTCTAAGGCCAGTGGTGATGATTCAGGACATTTATGGACATTTATGAACACTTATTTTGTTATTGTATTTTTTTTTCTCTTACAAAACAGACGTATTTAGTTAATACGATAGTTTATCAAGTAATATAAATAATAATCAAAATAATAGAGAAGAAAATTATAATAATAATTAAAAATCAAAATCAAAACACACATTGGTCATCTGCCCCTTATGGACCAGTGGCTCTATGTGTTCATCATTGCATTTATTGATTTTTATCTGTTTTATCGGACAAATGGCTCTCTGATCTGTTGTTGGAGAATCGACAACTTTGTGAAGTCTTCCGAGATAACGACTGTTGTGATATACAGTAGGGCTATACTGATCATAACCAGGTACTGCCGTGCTTAGCTTCAGAGGTCTGACCGGATCTGGCTTTCACATGCAAACTCCACACAGACCGGCCATGCTCGGACTGGGATCGGTTTCAGGACCTTGGAGAGCGCTAACCACTCTCCACCATTCTGTCAGAAGAGGAGCGTCTGTCTGAGTCTGACTGTGGACAGTGAATCATCATCATTACTCATTTCATTCACTGCTTGTTTATTCTGATGGCAAAGCGACATCACGGGAACCACCCCGAGAGCCTGAGAGCCTGGGGGCCCGGATCACAGGGGCCGCTGCTGTAGACTCAGTGAGAAACACATACTTTGAGTAGGAAAACGTTTTCTACCAAATGCTGGGCCACTTTCTTGTCAAGGTTGAAATGTGTGGGCGTGTGTGTCTGTGTGTGTATGTGTGTGTGTGTGCGTGTGTTTGTGTGTGTCTGTGTGTGTCTGTGTGTGTGTGTGTGTGTGTGTGTGTGTGTGTGTGTGTGTGTGTGTGTGTGTGTGTGTGTGTGTGTGTGTGTGTGTGTGTGTGTGTGTGTGTGTGTGTGTGTGTGTGTGTCTGTGTGTGTGTGTGTGCGTGTGTCTGTGTGTGTGTGTGTCTGTGTGTATGTGTGTCTTTTCTTTAGAGTACACACGCCTCTTTCTCATGTCCTCTCTGACTAACTTTCAGAGCAGGGTCTCACTATGGGGTATGTTTATCCGTCTGCAAAAATATGTGAACATTGGAGTCTACAGATCTGTACAGAGAGAGGATCTAACACTAGGCGACAGTGGCTCAGATGGCAGAGCATTGGTCTCTGAACCTCTTCCCCCCACGACCCTTGTCATCTGCTCCCACTAAAGTCTGCTGTCATTGTGTCCCTGGGCAAGACACTTAACCCCACATTTGTCGGATCAGCAGCCGTGTAGATCCCTGTATGCACTCACTCCTCTTGTGTTTTAATTTTTTTAGGTTTGAATAGTGTCGAAGAGAAGGAAGCTGAACCACAAGATTTCTTGTGTATGAACTGTGCTGCAACTAATCGTTTAGTTGAGTTTTTCTGTCTTTAAATCATCCAGAACAGAAGTGACCTTCCTCTCTGCAGTCTCTGCAGCCTCTGGTCTCTGCAGTCTCTGCAGTCTCTGGTCTCCGCAGTCTCTGCAGTCTCTGCAGACTCTGTTCTCTGCAGTCTCTGCAGTCTCTGGTCTCCGCAGTCTCTGCAGTCTCTGCAGTCTCTGCAGACTCTGTTCTCTGCAGTCTCTGTGGACTCTGGTCTCTGCAGTCTCTGCAGTCTCTGGTCTCTGCAGTCTCTGGTCTCTGCAGACTCTGGTCTCTGCAGTCTCTGCAGACTCTGGTCTCTGCAGTCTCTGCAGTCTCTGGTCTCTGCAGTCTCTGCAGACTCTGGTCTCTGCAGTCTCTGCAGACTCTGGTCTCTGCAGTCTCTGCAGACTCTGGTCTCTGTAGTCTCTGGTCTCTGCAGTCTCCGGTCTCTGCAGTCTCCGGTTTCTGATTTCTGCAGTCTTCGGTCTCTGCAGTCTCTGGTCTCTGAAGTCTCCGGTCTCTGCAGTCTCCGGTTTCTGTCTCTCTGCAGTCTCCGGTCTCTGCAGTCTCTGGTCTCTGCAGTCTCTGGTCTCTGGTCTCTGCAGTCTCTGGTCTCCTCTGCAGTGTCTGGTCTCTGCAGTCTCTGCAGTCTCTGCAGTCTCTGGTCTCTGCAGTCTCTGGTCCCTGCAGTCTCTGGTCTCTGCAGTCTCTGGTCTCTGCAGTCTCTGGTCTCTGCAGTCTCTGGTCCCTGCAGTCTCTGGTCTCTGCAGTCTCTGGTCTCTGCAGTCTCTGGTCTCTGCAGTCTCTGGTCTCTGCAGTCTCTGCAGTCTCTGCAGTCTCTGGTCTCTGGTCTCTGGTCTCTGCGGTCTCTGGTCTCTGCAGTCTCTGGTCTCTGCAGTCTCTGGTCTCTGCAGTCTCTGTCTCTGCAGTCTCTGGTCTCTGGTCTCTGCAGTCTCTGGTCTCTGCAGTCTCTGGTCTCTGCAGTCTCTGTCTGCAGTCTCTGGTCTCTGCAGTCTCTGCAGTCTCTGGTCTCTGCAGTCTCTGCAGTCTCTGGTCTCTGCAGTCTTGGTCTCTGCAGTCTGTTCGCAGTCTCTGCAGTCTCTGTCTGCAGTCTCTGGTCTCTGCAGTCTCTGGTCTCTGCAGTCTCTGGTCTCTGCAGTCTCTGGTCTCTGCAGTCTCTGGTCTCTGCAGTCTCTGGTCTCTGGTCTCTGCAGTCTCTGGTCTCTGCAGTCTCTGGTCTCTGCAGTCTCTGGTCTCTGCAGTCTCTGGTCTCTGCAGTCTCTGGTCTCTGCAGTCATCTCTGGTCTCTGGTCTCTGGTCTCTGCAGTCTCTGGTCTCTGGTCTCTGGTCTCTGGTCTCTGGTCTCTGCAGTCTCTGGTCTCTGCAGTCTCTGGTCTCTGCAGTCTCTGGTCTCTGCAGTCTCTGGTCTCTGTGGTCTCTGGTCTCTGCAGTCTCTGGTCTCTGCAGTCTCTGGTCTCTGCAGTCTCTGGTCTCTGCAGTCTCTGGTCTCTGTGGTCTCTGGTCTCTGCAGTCTCTGGTCTCTGTAGACTCCTTTGGCTCCTGAACATAAGGCGACAGAATCATTTTCTCGCTGCTGCACAAAAACAGGATCTTTCCCAATATCTGTCTTTGAGACGAGTCGCTGTAATCTCTGAACTGAGTCTGCTTCAAAGTCACACACTGTTCTGCTCTGTGCCCTGTCAGGATGGGTACTATGTGGGGTACTATGTGAGGAACCATCTGAGGACGTATGTGGGGTACTATGTGAGGAACCATCTGAGGATGAATGTGGGGTACTATGTGAGGAACCATCTGAGGACGAATGTGGGTTTCATTTTATAGACAAGAATTTTTACAGGATTAAGCAGAGGATAAACTCAGATCCAATGGTTTCAATCTTTAAAGGAGTAACCCCGCCCACCTGGTAACGGAGCAACACAATTGTTCACACAGAGAGACAAAACAAACACATTCTTATCGACGGCACTGGGTTTTACCACAGCCTGAATTTAAATGGCCACATTATGTTTTGGTTCTGTTTGTCTGCAGAGAGTTATTGGGTCATACTTTGTTAGGAAAGGCAAGGCAAGTTTATTTGTATAGAACAATTCAGACACAAGGCAACTCAAAGTGTTTCACAAAGCAAGATAAGCGAGAGGTTAGTTTGATACTTTATTACATTTGGCACATTTACGAAGTTCTTCAAACCAATGAAAATCTGAGAAATTAATTCATAAAAGTAATTCATACATTTTTACTTCACTTTACAAGATTTAAAACTGGTGAATATACAGTAACTTTAAATATGGAAAAACAGTTTGTTAAAATGCTAATGCTAAAGACAAATGCTAACTTTAGAATGCGCCTTTTGTTTTTTCTGCAGAGAAACCATGAGCTTCACCTTTTGTTGCTAATACTTTTACATTTATGGCCATACCTGCAGGTGAAAGCCAGATCCCATCAGACCTCTGGAGCTAAAAAGGGAAGGGCTTGGTTAATACTGTGATGGGAGACCTCTGGAAACAGCAGGTGCCACAGTAGGGCGGCTGCGGCTGTAAAGTGCCAAAATATGGTTGTGTCCGTAGGCAAGACACTTCCCCCACATTAGAATGAGTCTGGTGTGTGTGTGAATGGTTGGTGGTGGTGGGAGGGGCTGATGGCACAGACTGGTTGGCTCAGTGTGCCTCAGGGCAGCTGTGGCTACAGTTCATCATCACCGTGTTTGGAGTGAAAGAATAATGACATGTGAAGTGTCTTTGAGCGTTCTTAAAAGCAACATATAAAACTGTCGCATTATTATTATTATTATTATTAGTATTAGTATTAATCGTATTAGTATTATTTAAGAAACACTGGTTAAGATTAGGGGTTAGGAACAGTTAAGATTAGGGCTGTGGCAAAGGCAAGGGGTTCGTGATACCAAGTGAAAAAATACCAAGATTTTCCAGTAATTTAACACAAGTTTTAAACAGTATAAATAACACTGAATTTAAACATATTTTTTTTTACACATTTTCTTTAAAACCCTCAAACATGGCGAGCTGTAATTTAGCCAAAACCTACATCTAGTGTTTTGGATTCCATCTGCTCTGTGGGTTTTGGACAGTCAACAGATGCTGGAGCTATAGAGAAGTTACAGGATTGAGTTAGAGTAGAATCTGTGATTGTTCTGGTTGAGGAGGAGTGTTTTTGCTGCAGAGAACCCATGACCTTCTGTCCGCTTGGCCTCGTATCCACCGTCTTGTTGTGAATTGGCTCAAATCCATTGCCTCTGACTTCTTTCGTTGGATAATGTAACAGTTTTGCAGATCCAGGGTCTGTCTGAATGAAGCGGTAAAATGGTCCGGTTAGATTTGGATTGACTCCCAGAGGCTGAGAGAAGCTCTGATTCTGTTCTACTCCCACCAGGATCATGTCGTTCACCACATCAAATATTCTGCTCGGATCAGAACGATACCATGTTTTGACTGTGGGACTAGTTGATAAAGCAGGATTTTTGCTATTTGATTCGCTTTGAAATGAATTATTTATATGAGAAATGGGAAATGCAATGTTTTTTAAGGGGCTGCTCACTCATCATTATAGTGAGAGCAGAGAGAGACCAGGAAGAGACTAGAGAGAGACCAGAGAGACCAGAGAGAGACTAGAGAGAGACCAGAGAGAGACTAGAGAGACCAGAGAGAGACTAGAGAGAGACCAGAGAGAGACTAGAGAGAGACCAGAGAGAGACTAGAAAGAGACCAGAGAGAGACTAGATAGAGAGACTTGAGAGAGACTAGAGAGAGACCAGAGAGAGACTAGAGAGAGACCAGAGAGAGACCAGAGAGAGACCAGAGAGAGACTAGAGAGAGACTAGAGAGAGACCAGAGAGAGACCAGAGAGAGACCAGAGAGAGACAAGAGAGAGACTAGAGAGAGACTAGAGAGAGACTAGAGAGAGACTAGAGAGAGACTAGAGAGAGACCAGAGAGAGACTAGAGAGAGACTAGAGAGAGACTAGAGAGAGACTAGAGAGAGACTAGAGAGAGACCAGAGAGAGACCAGAGAGAGACCAGAGAGAGACAAGAGAGAGACTAGAGAGAGACTAGAGAGAGACTAGAGAGAGACCAGAGAGAGACTAGAGAGAGACCAGAGAGAGACAAGAGAGAGACTAGAGAGAGACTAGAGAGAGACCAGAGAAGACTAGAGAGAGACTCCATACATGTATACAGTGTACAGTATCTCTCCAACACCATCTATCAACACCCTCTAGGAATATTCTTGCCTTTTCTAAACAGTACTTAAACGTTGCTTGTCGCCGCCTGCTTCCCCTCGCGCCTCTCGACCTGATGGAGTTTGTGTGTAGTGCACGAAGCCGCTCCTCTTCCACACTCCAGCGAACCTCTCCGGGTATCTACCTCCACCGTCTGCTGCGTCTCTCTAAAACTCCCAAACACGCACTCGATGCATCTCTCGTGAAGCAGAGTGGGATGCGACGGCGAAGGTTACGCTAATTTCACCCCCGGCCGAGTGCTTTTACAGCCGCAGAGAACAGGTGCCTCAGAGTACAACAGCTCTTGGCAACTTTTCAAACTCCAGAGTGTGAAGAAAATGAGCTTATTAACAAGAGACGAAGTGTGTGTGTGTGTGTGTGTGTGTGTGTGTCGGGACAGTGAGTACCTCTGCTGTTTACATACGGAAGGCGGGCAGTGGGCCGTGACGCAGGGTTTAGGCGATGATTTTAGACAAAGGAGGTCATTAAAAAGACATTGAAGTTGAATATTCATGAGGAGAGATGGTGTTTGCACAGAAGAGGACTGAAAAAAGAACTTAAATGCCACTCCGAAAGGCGAGAGTCTTCACCCACTAACCACATGTAGGAGAGGTGAGAGTGTGTGTGTGTGTGTGTGTGTGTGTGTGTGTGTGTGTGTGTGTGTGTGTGTGTGTGTGTTTGAGTGTGAGTGTGCGACTGCAGATGGAAATGAGCTTCGTACTGTAGCTACAATCTGGTGTATTTTCTGCTCCTGCTGTTCATTGATACACACTGTCCCAGCCAAATAAATAAAACATGCAAAGACATGGCTTAGTGTTCAACTTAATTCAATGTTATGTGCTTTTGAATAGGAAAAAATACACATTCAAGTGACAGTTTTACTTGCAAAGCTAGTTTTAGAGACCAGAGAAAGACCAGAGAGAGACCAGAGAGAGACCAGAGTTTTACCTGCAAAGATAGTTTTTACTTCATTGACTCTGGGAAAGGTGTGGACATTGTAATGATAATAATACATTGGTTTGATATTTCCGTTTCTGATCAGAGAGAGACCAGAGAGAGAGGGACCAAAAAGAGACCAAAGAGAGAGACCAAAGAGAGACCAGAGTGAGAGACAAGAGAGAGGAGAGAGAGACCAGAGAGAGACCAGAGAGGGAGACCAGAGATTTTGATTTTTAACAGACCTTTATTTGTCCGTTAAACAGGTCAAATGACATCACATATT